ACTAAGACGAAGCTCGCGCTTACGCTAACCGCCACTTCGAAGCTTAGAACCTCGCTAAAGAACACTTTTAGCGCGCTTAAGACCGCATAGCTAAACAAGCTAATAAATCAAAGCGCTCGGTTGACTTCGACGTCAATGATAAGGTTTAATTAAATATGCGCTCGTTCTTTACCTCTCGACCGTTAAAGAAGCTCGATAACTCGACGAACGGACCGTTCGAGGTTACCGACAACGTTTACAATAGCTTCAAACTCAAGCTCTTCGAATCAATAAAAGTTCACTTAATCTTCTACTTCGAACGATTACGAAAAGCTCTTAATAACTCTACTTTCGAGCAAATCATTTTTAAATCTGACTCGATTAATATTACTAGCGAACTTAAATACGAAATAGAGAACATCTTAGCCGTACGCTAAACTAAGAAGCACTTTAAGTACCGCGCTTCTTAGCTCGGCCGCGATATTGACCTTACTTAGTACTTCGCTTTCGACTTCATGTACGCTCTGTGACGACACGAAGAGCTCAGACAAACTGTTGGTGATATGCTTAGAATATCAAGGTACAGAACCAGAACAGGTCTGAAAGCAAGCTATATACATGTGTGGCCAAGGGGCTCGCTTGGAGCCTTGGCGAGGCCTGAGGCATAGGCCAGCATGGCCAAAAGGGACGAGTCGTCACACTACCCCCCTCTCGTAAAAAAGAGCGGAGTTGCAACGCAGCGATCACTCGTCCTCGAGTATAAGTATATATTCCGTTCAAGCTACTAAAATCATTCTCCACTAAGGCGGTCCACCGTCCATTCTATTATATCGGCAATTGTTTGTATCCTTGGAGCCTCGTTCAGCACGCAGCTTTCCGTATTCATTATAATCCCTTTGATATCTTGCACGATCGCAAGGATATCTTTTTGAATGTCCGGAGGAGGAGGGGCTGAAAGATGTCGAAAAATCAGCTCGGAAAGCTTAGCGAAACGAGTATTATATATCGATAAAGTCTTGTCCGATAGAGGTGTCGAAAGGGAAGAAAGGGGTTTAGCAGGAGCCTTATATCGCGTAGAGATTGAGCGGACGAGCTGCCGAGTACAAGGGTCGAGGTTCCTTGTATATTAATGTTTGCTATCGGCCAGGTCTTAGAGCCAATGTGCTATAGCGATAATATAAGGTTCTATCGAAAGAAGAGAAGAAAGTATAATGCAGTCAGGTGCAAGCTCTTGAACAGAAAGGCTCGGTAAAGAGATCCGTGTCGTATTGTCGATTGAACAGTTACTTAGTGTTTAGCAGGAAAAATCTAGGGGGAGGGTTGCCGTGCGTCGAGTCTTATAATATGCTGCTCGGAATAGGCCTTCTCGCCGTAGCAAGGAAATTGTCTGATTGAAAGAAGAGGAGGGAGAGCTCGAATAAAGGTCGCTCGATAGAAGCGATGAGTGCGGTAATAGCGGTGCAATAAGAATTGGCTGTAGCGTAGAGCGGTACAACGACTCGAATTGAAAGGCTATAGCGAATCGCGCCGAACGGAGAGAGAGGTCGATTCGAGGTCGGAAAAAAAAAAAAATTTGACCTTGATATAATATGACGACACGAAGAGCTCAGACAAACTATTGGTGATGTGCTTAGAATATCAAGGTACAGAACCAGAACAGGTCTGAAAGCAAGCTATATACATGTGTGGCCAAGGGGCTCGCTTGGAGCCTTGGCGAGGCCTGAGGCATAGGCCAGCATGGCCAAAAGGGACGAGTCGTCACACGCTCTTTTTAAGGTACGTGACTTCTACTTAAAACATAAAGAGCTCTTCGGCTTTTCCGCGAAGCTTTTCGAATAAATCAAAGCTTATTCGGATAGTGTTAATGATTACGATCACTTGAGTAGTGATAAAGCAATAGATAAACGCTCGAAGACGAGCTTTTTTCGGACGAAGAGGTAGTGTAACGATACGCTAGGTCTCTTAGACGCACTTCATATGCGCTAAGCTATTTCTTTCCTTTTTTCCTTCGTATTTTTCGTATTCTCTTATTCCTCGCTTTTAACTTATAAACCATGGTTCACGAGTCCTTAGCGCTTCTACCTTCGTGTATATAAACCTCAGCTACTTTCGACCTTTAT